AGGTGCTGTTACCCGATATTTGAGGTTTTTTACCTTGCATTAATCATAAATTACTTTTCCATAATTAATACCTAATTAATTATAATTATAAATGATAAATAATTATTTATAAATGAGAATAGGACAAATCATTTAAGGTTTTTTTCGGTAATTTTAAAACTATGTTTACGATTTGTTTATTTTATTTTATTTAGAAAAAAAAACAGAAAATTAAAAAAATCTGAGTGTGAAGAGAGAATTTGGGGGGGAGGACAAGACTTATATCATATAAGTCTTGTCCTCCCCCCCAAATTCTCTCTTCACACTCAGATTTTTTTAATTTTCTGTTTTTTTTTTCTAAATATGTATATGTTACCAGGTGGCAGAGTGTCTAAAAACGACCTCTAAAACTATAAATATTGGTAGAATAAAAAATAACTTGGAAAAATATATTTTATTAAAAAAATACAACAAATATAAAATATTAAATACCTATGTAATATTATTACTCAAAAATATAGACAAAATATTAGTCAAAGAAAAGTATAACTAATAAAATACAAAAAAATATGCATCTAAAAACTCTTTTTCTTCACATGGGAGCTAAAACTTTTTGGTTTAATTTTAAAATATTTCAGGTTTTATCAATACCTTGTAAAACCTCTACACCTTCACTACTCGTCAGAGTTTGAGTTGGACTTTCTCTTTATGCCTCCCTGTTGTAGAAGGGGCCCTTCCACCCGACCTTAAAGGCTGGTCAATGAAGAGTTCCAACGATGGACCATCGTCGATGGTATTACCTCCACCTTACCCTTCACCACTAACTTTCACAGCGCTTTCTCTATTAGGGCTAGTAATTTATCCTTAAAGTCATTAAGTTGTTATATTGGCTCCCCGACATTGCCAGTCTTCATGAGAGAAATGCGTAGTTTTCTTGCCATTTTCAATACACTAAAAGTGTGTAAAAATAAGTAACTAATAATTATTTTAAGATATTTTATGATTACCCTTTTCCATATAAGGATGGACTTAATGGCCCCGTTAGAAGATCTGTGCTTTCGCTAGTTCAGCATAAAACGTTTTTCCCAAGTATTTTTAGAATTTGTGGATTTTCCCAAGTTGTTTTTAAGTTCATTTAATATATTAAATATCACCAATGATTTATAAAATAATTATCTAACACAATTTTAGTTTGCGATCTGCGACTTTTAGGCTATAAAACTAATATACTCTCTGTCCTAGAAACATTTATCGCTGTTCAGAAAGATTCAAGGTCAATACTCTCAACATATGAGAAACGGAATAGCCTTAAACATAGGTGATGTTTGGGTTGTCGTTGGGTGAACATACATGTTAAGAAATCGATGTTTACGAACAGCAAGAAAGGGAATAGGCCTCTTAGTATTAGCCTGGCTTAGGGCCGGATTAAGGATTTGGCTGGCGAGGACGCGGCCCAAGGGACCTACATTTGGGCCTCTACAAACCAATTACGACTACCTATAATAATAATAATAATATTTATTGCCTTCATTAAGTCATAGTTTAGTGTCTACTTATTTGAACTTTATTCTAGATTTAAATGTGATAAATTATAATTAAATCGGTGTGTTCAAGAACAAATTTAAAATTTTTACAAATTATTTTTATAGTTTAAAATGCATTTTTGTGAGAATGTTTCAGATGTTGTACAAAATATGGATATTATATTTTATAAAATAGTTAAAATATTCTCAAAAGAATGCATTTTAAACTAAAAAAAAAATATTTTATAAAAATAACAACAATCAATTTAAGCAATTTCAATTTTGGACTGTTTGTACTGTTCTTGATGATCTCACCGATTCAATAGAATTATTTCAAATCAACCGGCCCTAGGGCCCCACATTTTCAACTTGGCCCTGGATTGGCTTATTTTAAACAAAATACAACAATATTAAAAAAATAAAAAAACAACAATAACAATTTTTAGAAACTCTTCAATTTGATATTTTCTTTAATTCCAAGAGGTCTTAGTTTAAAAGTGATGTATCACTTTTGTCAAGCCTATTTCAGTTGGGACTTTCTAATGTGGGACTATGGAAAAAAAGAAAATTTAAGAAAATATAATTCGACAAAACCACCAAGATATCCTTTACAAAAAATACAAATTCCGATTCATTTCATTACTAGTAAAAATGATTTAATAGCTACATCACAGGTAAATATTATATACATATTAGGGTGTGCCAAAAAAAACTATTTTTTTTTACTTTGTACTCTGAAAAATCGGTTTCTAGACACCTCTAGAGAATTCTCACCAAACATGAGTTCTTAATTTTGATAACAAGGTTCTCCAATTTATAATTTTCCATTTTTTCCTCAGTATTAGAAACAAAAATTCATATCTCTTCGACAACTGTACCTATAGGTACACAATGCATAATTATATTTTTCTATATATTTTACATACGTTTTTTATTGAAAAAGGGTCTTGGTCTTAAACTCTGAAGAAATTGTATCTCTTTCTCCGCGGTTACTGTCCAATGAGACGAGGAGATTTTAATTTTATCCACAGTAAAATTTATCATTATTATTACGATTATACACTAAAGAAGTATTGCTAGTAGCGCCACCACTCGGCTGTTATCGTCGTAACAAAAATATAACTTTTAATAATCTGCTATCAAACGCTTATGTTACAAACGAGTGTTTTTGAGAATAAAGCCGGAAAATGTTGAAAAATATCGGAAAAAAAACCGTGGCACGATTTGTTGTGTTGTTGGGTGTATTTCGAGAGGAAATCCTTGGTTACGTTTTTACGGGTTTTTCAATAAACAGTGTTAATCCGCATGAAGATATAAATTTCATACAGTCCCTGTAAATTAGTGATTCCCACGAGAGTCTCGTTTTCGAGAGTCTCGCATGGTCTCGTCTCGTTTTCGAGAAAAAAAATATTGGTTTTCTATGTAATAATTTTTATTTTAAATCTACCTTTGTTACATAATATTCAAAAAAGTATTTAAAAATTCTTTAAGCGAAATACCTAATCTATTTATTGTTAACAATTTTATTTAAGGGGCAATATTTTAAATATGTGATTGTTTTATGTATATAATGCTATTGTATCTTAATTAAAATATATTTAACAGTGGTGAATTATTTGTTTCGATTTGATCACTGAGAATATTATCAGTATTTTTAAGTTTGTTAATTTCTAAAGACTCCAATAGATTTAATTTTGTGCCTTTATTTTCTAAATGTCCTCTCTAAAAATGAATTAGTCAAAAATTACTAATTTAATAGTTATAAGTGGCTGCTTTTTCATTTGTATTATATCCAAAAATTTAACAGCCAATTCCTAAGTAAAATTGTCCCTTGAATCGGAAAATACCGTCAAAAATTTTGAAATATAGTCATTTCCATATTAAATGGAAAATTGACTATATCTCAAAAAGTGTTCTACTTTTTTAACTTTTGACGACATTTTGGGATAACATGGTACAAGTGAAAAACCAGCCACTAATAACTATAAAATTAGTCATTTTTGACTAATTCATTTGTATAGAGTAATATTTTGAAGTTGTTATTAAATGTATGGTTTTCTGTAATTAGATGTGCTGATGTGCTGATTAAAGTTTTTGGTTTATAAATTATCTACGATGTTCTTTAATTCTGGTATTAAAATTACAGCCAGTTTATCAAGTTTTTGGACAATCTGCTCTCTAAAAATGGGTTAGTCAAAATAGACTAATATAAATTAAATACTATTAAATTATTTTACATAAAAATTGGGATACCATGGTATTCTATGGTTAACCACGGTACAAGTGAAAAAGCAGCCACTAATAACTATTAAATTAGTCATTTTTGAGTAATTTATTTTTAGAGAGTGCACAAGTTATTTGGGATACGTCTGATTTCGTATTTTTATTAGACTTATCTTTGTTGTTTTTTATGAAAATACTTAGATTGTATCTAGTTTTAAAAGAGATATTGCTATTAATTTCCTGAACCAGTAAAGTCGGATTTTGTAATCGATTTTAATGTCTTGTATGCAGTAAATCCTAGCCTTGTCGAATGAGAATGGATGCAGGAGCTTCAAAAATATTATTCTATGCCCCGGTGTAATAAAAACACAGATATATTACAATGGTGAAAATTCATGCTTATAAATTGCCCATTCTTAGTTTGATGGCACGAGATCTCCTAAGCATACCGGCTACTTCAGTCGGCGTTAACTATAAGAAAACATCGAAATCGCCTTAGTAATGAATCTGCACGATGTTTGTTATGCCTAAACGACGGTGTGAAAAACAAAAATATTTGCGACCCAGAAAGCTGTTAGCAGATTTGTTTCCAATTACACTGTGCGACAAATTTTGACCTTACAATTTGAACTGGGATGAAATGTGGAAAAATCGAATCTATGCAACCCCCAAAACTAATCTTTAAAGGGGTTTTGCTAGTTTAGCTCGAATAATGGAGATATATAAAAGCCCCTAGAACTTAAAAAATATGAATTTTATAGAAAAATGCTCCGACACGTCGATTTTTATTTTATATGACGCAATTTTCAGTTGATTTTGAAATTTTTATTTTTTCACAGATTCACCCACTTTTTCTTTTAAAGACTGGCGCGCCGCGGCGTACGTGAGCGGATGCATGCTCGCCTCTTTCCGATCCTTTCAGTACAACTCGGCAAATGTAGCTTGAGACGTCAAATGTTTACGCCCATCGAAGCGCAGTGACCAGCTCTTAAAATATTCATTTGCATTGAAGTTGTCGTATCGTAAAGAACGTTGCGCACAGTGGATTAAAATTAAAGTAAATCAAGTATATTATATTATCTATTAATACTATTTATTATTATTATTATCTAATAATACTATTTATTATTATTATTATCTATTAATACTATTTATTAAATAAAACAACTTTTTGCAGGTTCTTCACAAATAATTATCAATTTGCCATCATTTCTTAACATTTATATCAATAAAAACGTACCTAACCCTAATACATAATACATACCTCAACTTTAAAACATTTCTTGTTTACCTTAAATATAATTATATTTATTAATACCCCATCAATATTAAGGTAGAAAATTTTACCTATTTGATCCATTCCAATTGTATAAGTAAATTTTAAAAATTCAAAGTAAATCAAAAATTTACTATTGTTTACTCTTAAATATCTTTAATAATGTTGTTACACGGTCCGTAGTTGTCATTAAAATCTTTATTAGTTACATCCATTAAACTTTAATAATTTTTTAGCTCTAACCACAGCATATGCTGTGTTCTAACTATTTTATAACTTAATAATTTAAAATTTTACAAATACCACGTAAAACCGCTTTTTGTGCATTTTATTTAGTCCTTTGTGCGGTCGATCTCGGCCGTATCATGGATCTCTTTTCTTCCGAATGCGTTCTCTCTTTAAAATTTGCGCACCTGGCTCATATCTGAAGTCTCTTTCTACGTTTGCCGAGTTGTACATTCCACACCGCTCTCGATCTTTCGGGAATTCCCCGCCGTAAACAAGCGATGACTAATAGCCGATGAGTCACCATAGAGAATAATTTCGCACCTGAAAAAAGGGCTTTTAAGCCAAAATCTTGTACTTTTGGTATACACAGTAGCTTGAGTAAACCAAAAAATACAAATTTTTCAAATTTCATTTAGCTAAGACGAAAATTGCCTTTTTTCCTACAAATGGATATTTTGCTCTATAAATGGACCTTTTCCCTATAAATGGACCTAATTGGACAGCTAATTCCGGCCCGAGACAGTCGCACAATCCTAGGGTTCAACAGTTTGATGCTGAAGAGTTGGAATGGTACTAAAATCTTCTAACTGCTCCCTCGGCAGCTCTAGGAGTATTTATAAGGTTTCGGTGCCATTCCAACTCTTCAGAAGTTACCCATTTTGTACCAAATTGCTGAGCCCTTTTATGTTGCCTCTATTTTAAGTAGAATTTAACTGCTTTTGTGTTAATTTTACTTCACAGATCGACCGAGCAAACTTGGATGTATCTGCGTTTGCATGGATGCGCCTGAATTGTTTTAGGTCCCACTTAAATATCTAAAAATTCTAACACTCGTTAAATCATCCACTGACTATTATAATATAATTATCAATGGTTTAGTTTTCAGGCCTGAAAACCGCGTAATTTAAAAAAGTATTTTACTACGAAAAACTAATTTATTACAAAATTTAGTGCTCCCAAAAGATACACAATCATTTATATAAAAAATGTATACATAGATAACAAGAAGAAATAATAAAACACAGATTTTTTTTATTTTTTTTTAGGATTCTGACACTCTTTGGAATGCACTTCCCGATGTGGCTAAAATTTATGGTAGAACTGATATAAGTGGACTAAATCATGTAGATTTTTTTGTAGGAAAGGATAGATATAGTTTAGCGTATGATCATGTTTTGGATCTGTTAAGAAAAATGTGATTGTATTGGGTAAAAAAATAAAATTTTATTTAAAATTTTTTTTCTACTACCATTTACAAAAATACATTTTTTGTCACCGAATTCTCTAGTGTGAATTTAATTTTCGTCACTAAAAAATCCCATAACTTTAACTTTTGTCACTTGAGACGTCTATAGTAGTCAGTTTGTGTTATTCAAAATGTATTTAGACCACAGACCACCAAAACAAATGGACGGATTTGTTTACGTTTAAAAACCGAGTAAAGCATACTTTCACATTCTAAACACCGTCGAAAGAAACACGGCTTCCAACGTTGTCAGAAGTATAGATTACACGCCTTTTTGGACGTTCATCAAACATAATGAACATTAATAATTACCAGTAATTCGTTTGAATAATAAAAAAATTGTAAAAAGGATTTGTTCATCATTTTCTATAGATATTTTTCTCTATTTAAAGAAAGTAAATCATTTAATAATTATTAAAATTAAATATTAACAACGTTGGTAAATTCGTCATATTTGACAGCATAGAAAAAGGTTATGTTCTGTGGGTTGACAGCTTGTTGTTTTGTGTTTTCGTTTGTGTATTTCTATCGTGTTAAGTTAATTATGGAGTTTAAATACAATATTTTTTACTAAAAATAACAATACCTACATGGAAATATCGTTTGTAAGTACCTACCTACTTATTTTTTTAATCCCAATACGTCACTGGAAGAAAACATAAAATTCTATCGCCAATTTAACGCTTAGACTGTGACCGTTTGATGACGTCACTGGAAGAAAACATAAAATTCTATCTCCAATTTGCCGCTTAGACTGTGACCGTTTGTTGACCGCAAACAAATCATTGTTATTGAATGGCAATGCGCCGTCCATTTGTTTTGGTGGTCTGCGATTTAGACCAATCAGTAAAGTTTTTACCTCCTAGTCTGTAAAAAGCCCATTTGGACCAATCAAACAATTTGACTCTGGGTGTGAAGTGCTCATAAAACATTTTTTTTACTTTCACTGTGAAAAACTTTTATAAACAATACATTTCGATTTATAACCTTTATAATCTGTGTTTATAACATATACCTAGATGTTAGTGTTGTTAAAACTGTTTATTTGGAAAATTACCAATCCTTAATAAAATTTGGCATTTTATTCTGCGGTCAATGTAAGTGTATTCAGTCACTATTTGTAGCACAAAAAAGTACTATTCGTACCTTGTTGGGACTAAAATGCGGTGAGTCACTTAGAGGGCATTTTAAAAGGCACAAAATTTTGACTGTAACAGCTTTATAGGTGTATGAGATATTATTATCGATGTGGCTCCCGTCCCGAGGAGGGACTTAACTTCGATCCCGACTGACGTCACACACTGTAAATCCGTTTTTATTCCCCGAGCTTTTAAAATTGGTGTCAAGCTGGATGGCTCAGATGGTAGGGCGGTCGCTTGGCATGCGAGAGGTACCGGGTTCGATTCTACTAGAAGTTGTCAAACTTTTTTTATTTTTTTATTTTATAAATATGTTGTTTCTTTTTTAAAAAGTGTTGCGTTGTGTTGGGTAGGGTTGGGTTGGGTTGGTTGGTTTGGTTGGTTTGGTTGGTTTGTTTTAGTTTTATTGTAACATAACAAATCTTAAAATTATGACGTCAATCGGGACTGAACTTAAGTCCCGCCTCGGGACGGGAGCCACAGCGTATTATTATTTGTTTTTAAAAATATGTCTCTGTTTAATAGTTTAAAATCAGAACGTACTCTAGCATTAAGATATCCTATTCATTGCCTTACGCCTTATGAAAAAGTCTGTTATTATTCTTGTATTGTCATTTTTAATAAATTACCTTGAAATATTCAAATGATCACCAAAACATCGAGTTATAAAAAACATGTCTTTGACCACCTTATTGATATAGAACCATATGATATATATATACTTTGTCTGATTATCTACAGTATAAATGTTAAATGTACTTATTTTACCTATTTTTCCTTTAGACGTTATTTTATTCTAATTGTATTATTTTTTTGTAAACTTGTAATTACAATTATTTTTTAAATAAATATTATTATTATTATTATACGAATTTGACATTTGACGGTAACGCAGATTCCCCTACTGTTTAATAGATGGCGCTCTATGCTCGGAAGCTCGCTCGTGCATAAATTGACCATATGCAAGAAATGCGGTCGATGTTGCCAATGGTAAAAAAATAAAATTCCCTATTTGGAACATTCAATTATATTAAGTTGGCTACATTGAAAATTTGAATTTCCCGCACAAACTAAATTAATTTTTAATTTGACATTTAAGTAGTTCAATTGTGTCTTATTATCTGTAATTATTTGGTTTGGATTATGTTTTGAATAAACGCTTTTTGGACAATATCGCAAGCTTTGACCTTCTAGCGAGGTATTTTGTGAATTGCACAACACATGGAGTGGATGATCCAAGATTTGAAAAATTCTTCTTCTTCTTCTCTGGTTTGATTGGCCTTTCCCTTCCGGGAATTAGCCAGCTTAATCACGTTTCTTTTAGGTACTGGAGTAAGCGAGTCTAGGATTACCTATAGCTTCTCCTTTCTTCTTTATTATATAATATATATAAATTACAGCTTCTCGTTTTCTTCTTGATTATTGGTTTTATTTTTCAAAATTAATGTCCATCAATATCACTTCAGTCTTCATAGTTCATAAATCAATCTTTTTATTTTAGCATTACAGTTCAATCTTAACAAATCTTCTCAGTACACTTATCATTTAGAGTCATTTTTATTACACTAATACACTAATGTCTCAAACATAAACGAAATCACCATACACGCAGCGGAAGTCATACATAAAAATAGAGGGCAAAAAAAATAGCAAAAAAAACCCACGATGCACTACATAGCTGTTTGAACATGACTATTAAATCCTTTAATATTTCGACCATCCTTTGTGGAAATCTATTGCATCTTCACAAATCTAATGTAGATTTTGGAGTTTTGGCACTGATTAGCTTAATTTTGTGCTGTGAGCACCATATTGTCCTCTCAAGGACACTTGTCACTTCAGCGGACAACACAGAACTGGAAAATTAACGTGTCTATGGGTGGATGGCTTCGTGAAGCGCATGGACAGTAAAACTTGTTGCTGGTCAAAGTGGTTCATTGAAACCGAGACCATTAACTATGATTTCGCGAAAGAATCGAACGATTTTGGGGTATTTTTTATAACACATCTCAGATTTTTTTTATATTTTAATATTGTGTTTATACATCTAATTCCACCCTAAATCTAAAATTTTTCTTTTATCTGACCTAAACTTTGGCTCCCAGAGACCATTTAATTTTACCATTCGCAAAAAGCCATAATTTCATTATATTAGCATAATTATTTTATTAAAATACTGAATGTTTTGAGATGTGGTCCATAAATGACCCTTATTAGTACCTACAATTCTACCAAATTTTTTTACATATAGGTGGCGCTGCAATTTTTTCTTCTTCAAAAATAGACGTTTTTTGAAGACCAAAAACTCTCTTAAGCAACAATGCTAAAAAAAAACTAAATAGTATACCAGATAATATACATATTCCTTTATAATTTGATATAAAAAAATTAACTTGCAAATGATGTTGCCGCCCGTAAAGCCAACTTAAAGTTTTGTTTACCGCATTAAAAAAAATTGAATTACACTTACAACTTTATTCTTATTTATTAACTAAGGAATTCCAGGAGATTACTTTTATTGGTAAGAATAACAAAGCAAAAAAAGTTTTATTTTTTCACACCCAAGGGGCGCTGCAGCCTTTTTTCTTTAAAAACTATATAGCATTTCAGATAATATAGTACTATTCGCTGGGGTCGAATCCCTTAATGATTGTTCAATTTTGCAAAATAAGCTAAATCAAGTTTATGATTGTATTTATATCAAACCTAAACTTATTATAAAAAATGCAATGTTTTTTATATTAATTATAGAGTTGATAATATTGACTTTTCGCTTGGATAATATGTATCCCACTATAGACATTAATCAGCAATCTCTTCTATAGAAGAGAACGAAACTATAGTTTCGTTTTAATATATATTCTCTTTAAATGTAGAAGGCATTGGTTTTTAAAACTCGCTCGCAGCTTTGCTCGTGCCTAATAAAACTCATAATTAAAATAGCTTTTATAAAACTTGATGACATAATATACTACATATTATCTTCAAACGTTAGGTGATTAATAATGAGAATTAACTCTATTAACTATTTTAAATATTAAAAAATTATTTTTATGAAATTTAACTATTTTATTAAATTTAATTATTTTGATTATTATGATTATTTCCTTTTTACCGCGGTTTAAATATTAACATTATTTTTATATAAATGTATAAATTTAGTTGTCTATCCCATAGTGCATACACTTCCTAAAATACATTTATTTAACCCCCAAGCTCCCAAGCTAAATTAACTGATTAAAGTTTCAGGAAGAATTCCTGGTATGTGGGCATAAAGGTTTAAAGCGTCCCACTAAAGGTTTTATTGACTTCATAATAACCTACTAAGAATCACGTCGGATTTAATTTAAGAAATGATTTCAAGTGTTAGTTTTAGAAAACTCTGTAATTTGATTGATTGATTTGATATTGGAAGGAGTGACGGGCTTTGAAGGACCGTCACGATGTGTCACGCCTGAGGGGGGACTGTTTATTAAAGCGTTACGTGACAAAGTAAATTCAATGAAATTGATTATTTGGTCCATTTTTAGTCAGATTGTTAAAAAAAAAAAGAATTTTAGGGAAGTTTTATAATCTTTACATTATGTCACGATGGAGGTGAAGAAGGTCAATTTCGAACATTTTTAGCGTCACGGTATATATGGTTTCAATGTTTAAATTTTGTTCTAGGAAAAATATTCTTTAAATGTTTTTATTTGTCATTAAATCAAGGGTTTTTCTAAAAAATATCCTTAAAGCCCTTTTATTTAATAATAAAAAACGCGCAAAAAAAACTTTTATAGGGAAATTTTTTTGAAGTACCTAAATAAAAAATATG